TGAAGCATGGGTGCCAACTGGATAGGCTCTCGTACAGGGTACCATACTTAACCATACAAAGGGCGTCCGTGTAATGTACAGGTCGGGCGAAAATTCATACGGAGTGTGAAAAAATGAAAACGGGGGAAAAAGGAATAAATATGTGCTTGGCCGCAGACGATGACTTATTCAGCATTCAGTCTCCTTAGCCGGTCTTGAACGTTAGACCGGCTGAGCACACGTACACTTATTCCCATCCATAAATACCTTTCAGTCAGAGTCAAAAGACGTAAATACGGCATGTAAATTGGATTTCCAACAATTTTTTTCAACACCCCCATCCATTCTATGGTATATTCCTTGTGAAAGTTGCCCAAAAGAATCTCCCAGGACTTGGTACTATACTGTGCGAGTGGTGAGCTGCGAGCTCGCCGAAACTCTTGACCAATCTGAATTGAACTGTCTCTTATCCAGTCACACTTCTCAGAATGTTAATATAAACGGTCAAGTTGCTCCTTGTTTAATAGGGTCTTGGCCCCCTATCTGATTTCCCCTCTAAGATATTCAGCCTGTGTGAAAACATGGGCGCGACCACTCCAGGGTGCAACGTGATCTCCTGATCTTACTGTTTTGTATCAAAGGTGTAAGGGAGAATTTGGCAACACAAGTATGCCACAGAAATTCCAACTTGAACATGGGGCTGGGTGTACAGGAGCTCGCTATCTGGACTAACGATCCAGAATTGTCACACCAACTGTACTGTAAACATCCCAGCCTGTTACCTACAGGAAACTTTCTTTTTAAACCAACGTTTATACAACAGTTATGTATTCTTATTTACTGACATGCGCAGGACTACTTTACATGCGCGAATACAGAGGAAATTGAAAGAACTGAACTCGATGAAAGCCCCCGGGGGGCGGAGGCTGCAAATGAGGTGGGTGCAGAAACATTTGATAGTGTCCGTATTTACATGTATCTTCTTATACAATACATACAATATGTGTTTCTTTCAAAATGAAAACTACTAACACGTCAGAAATGGTACTACCATCTTTCTCATGGGAGAATTAAAGATTATTTAGCAGATGAATAAATATAACAGTTCTGGAAATCTTCGTCAGATTGATTGATAGAAAATTGATCTTTTTTTGTACAAGGAAAATGATATGCATGTACCCGACGGTTTAAGTCGGCCTCCATCTGAAGTCCCTGCATCTGGGAACATTGTGCCACAAGAAACCGCAAGTGCCGATAGGTAGGCCCTGCAGCTAGTATGTTGAATTCTTAATACAATATCATTCCTAATTTAAAATGGCCAGCAAATCCAACATCTCTGGAAGACATTAATGAAATAGTTTCATTGGACAAAGGACGCAGCTATACAATGTGGCCGAGCTAAAGATGTAATTAAGGCATCTGGCCAAACATCTGCCTAATTCACACCTGAATCACAGTTCAGTAGCAGTGGGGTAACTAGGGCTATTATGTCCGGGGGCACCCGGGGTGCACACATGTTCTTCAAGAGGCACCAAAAGACAATGAGCTGCAGCACAGGTTGTTCATGAATCTCAAGGGGGGGAGCATCCGGGGGCAAGGGCATTTACTGGGAGTACTTCCTCCCTGTACCGGTAATTGTGCCTCTATTCCCTAAGCATTGGGCACTAGGCAGTGGCAGTAAGCTCTTCTCGTCTCTTAGTTCCATTTCATGTAATGTTTATGATAATGAAAATAACCGCAAAGAACAACACGAATAAATTCTCAAGTGCTAGTATCTTGTAAAAAGTCTTTAATCACTGCGCTTTGAGAGGATCTATTCAAAAACCAGAACGAACAGGCAAGTTCTGAGATGAGACTTGATAAAGTGGCAATGTCAGGCTGTGTCCTTAAGCAAAGGGTTTCACAAACTTCTGACCACAAGCAAATTGTGCATCAGCTAGTTACAAGGGCTGAAGCCTTAAGTTTCATATTCATGCTAACCTGTGATTGCAGTGCTTTCGCTGTATCAAAAAGGGATGGTAAAAAATTGCTTTCAAAAACAATTTCTTGCATTTGAATCGGTGTATGTGTCCTATGACACTTTGTTATATTTTAGTATACCCGTCACGTTTTCTTACTACACACATCTGAAGCCAAAAGATTGAAAAAGTCACACTTCCAGAGAGTGGGCCCCTTAGACCTGCCATTCTATAGAGTGGCCACGCTCTGAAATGGACAACCCTTTTGTGTCTCTTGTATATGGTTCCTTAGAAAGGTAAAACTTAACTGCACACTTTTGGAATGGCTTGCACGCTTTCAGGGTAATTTTCACTCTTTTAAGAGTGGTTTTACATTCTTTACAGTTGTTTTATAACTAAAGTATTCACTCCTTTTGAAAGTGAGTTTTTGCCGAGAGGCTCTGTCTTTTGTAGACCTAGGACATGATATCTTTTATGCTGTTTGAATAATCCCTACCTGGTGCCTGTCTGCTGGGCAGTAGCCTGGCCATAGTCAAAGATGTAATATTTTGATTTTTATGCAGAGGAAGTCATAAAACAAAGAGTAAGTCTTCATAGCATGGGGGGAAAAAACAATTTTACCTGTGGCTGGGACTAGGAATCAGACCCAAGCTTAAAGTGTGTGAATGATGAGTGTTTTGTACTTGTGCTTTAGCCACACTTGCTGTCAATAATAAATCAAGCCCATATAGAGTTTAGAGAACTGATGTGAAGTGCAAATTATTTGTGTGAATGTGTGAGAAGGAAGTTATTGTGTATAGTTCAAGTTATTTTTCGGAACCTGTACACAGTTTAGGAAAGTTCATTCCACAAGTATCGGCCAATGATGTTTTAAGCGACAACTGGACAAAATGTCACAATAGAGAATTTCGACAGGAGTTGTGTAACATTTTTCTCTCTAACTTCAATTCATTGCAGAATAAAGAACTGTCGACGCGGATCCTCGAGCACTTCCGCCAGTACGGGCTCACTCTCTCGGGTAACTGTCATGTTTGTTTTTCAGTTTGTCACAGAATTTATACCAAAATATATCGGAATTTGTGTTCCTTGATCTATTTTTTAACATGACAAAATTAAATATAAAGAAAAAGGGGAAAAATCAACCACGTACATAGTTATAATTTTTTTTAACAGACAAACTACCGAGACATAGAGAAATGCCCCGTATGTGGCAACGATGTCCCGCTCGATCAACAGTGGTTTACTGCGACGACAAATAGAGAAAATGGAATTCTCCGTGGCAGGAAATTGTACTGCCGTGAACAATGTGCAAGATCTGATCGACAGGGCGATGAAGTCGTTCGACCAATTCGGTTCTTGGTAACTAGTTTATTTGCTATATTTGAGGATGGTTCATACGTGTAACATTAAAAATAAAAACAAAGTTTCACAATGTCTAAACCTGATGATATTGTTTACCTGATAAAACACATATTCAGCTCTCTGGAATCTACCATAAAGAAACGTACTTTTCATATTGTTACGGATTTGCCTTCTATTTTGCCACTTTACTTACAGCGTATATTATGTTGGGCACCAAACTGGTTTGTAATCGTTTTCATCGTTACTTCATCAGTTACATTTTTTTCAATCAGAACAGCCTCATACGTCACTGTTGATGTTTGACTTACTACAGAGAATGACGTTCCAGCAGTGAAATTTAAAAACATTTTTTTTCTCTTTCTGTTCAATATTTTTTCTGTAAGTTTATTTCTCTTTTTTCCCACGGAATTATTTAAATTATTCCACTTAAATATGGATTCTACAAAAATTAAAAAAAACACTAATCTGTAAATTTAGGGATTTTAATTTACAGAATTTGTTCAGTGTTTTATCTTTTTTATGGAAACAGTTTTTGGTTATTTCATTAAAGTTGTGTTGTCAAAATTATCAAATACTTATTTTTTATGCTGAGTCAAAGGGACATACCATTTCTGCCTTTTCCATCCTTGGGTGGGAGAGTTTGTCCAGAATATTGTTGTAAGTGCAACATCTTGAGAATTACTTTACATATGAACTTCCAATTTTTTTTGTATTGATGTTAAGAAACCTATTAAATTGGGACCCCCCAAAAAGGCCAAGGTCGAATTTTAAATGTCGGCATGGTTGTTTAGGTATATTGCTATGGGATTCCTACTGATCGTAAGGAGCCTGTTGAATTTCAGGGTGAAAGGTCAGAAGTCAGGGTCACAGTGGCTAGAACAATAGGGGAATGTCAGGGGACTGACTTGGGAATTAATTATTTGGGAATTTCAAATTTGGCTGTGTAATCTATTGGTAAGCTCACAAGCTTTTTGTGTTAAAAGCTTGAAACTCTCATCAAGGGTATGCTAAGGGTCTAATGCTTATAAAGTTGGACGTTCTTGTTTGTGATTAAAAAAATTCAAGATATAAGTCAGGTATATGTAGGCATGGTTGTCAACTCATCAGTTCTCGTCTTTCAGATGGCACACCCCTAAAGCACAGGCAAAACAGCTTTACATTTTTCATTGAAAATAAACGTGAATTTAAAGAGCATAAAAAAATTTTAAGTTTGCAGCCAGACCTTCAGTGCTTTAGAAACAACAAAAACAATTAAGAAAAACTAAATATAACTGGCATTTACCGAAATACCGTAAAATGAAGGGCATTGTTTCTCACGTCAGCATAAACTGGTAAGTGTTTCTCATATTGCATGTAAAAATAATCTTCACAATAAACAGACATGTGCGGATGTGTTCCGTTGTATATATGTGTACTCCTTACAGTTTAAATACTGCGCCGTGTGCCTGCCGGAAGACAACATCTGGATGCAAGTAGCCGTATGCAATGAGTGTCACAACTACACGTGTTGTAAGTGTGTCAAGGGAATCGTAGGATCCAAGGAGTGGGAGTGTCCTCTCTGTAGATGCAAATTGTGCGAAGTAGTAAATCTCATGCCACTGCGGGGACACGTCACGGATTCAGGTAGGTACAATTTCTTGTGAGATTTACTTCATGTATAAATCGGTGGTCAGAAATTAAATGTCGAAACTAATTTGTTAGTTCTCTTCAGCGGTGTATCCAGTGTAATTTGTTTTTGGGGGGCAGGGCTGGTAAATTCCAAAGTGAATGCGTCTTCTGGCCAATTCAACATGATGTTAGGGGAGAAAACATATCGAAAGCCTTAGCAGTCCCCACATTCTTGCTTTTATTTTGATTTCTTAGGGGGTTTTATTTTGTTATTTTTTTCTTTTGTTAGGGTTTCGGTGCTAATATGTGGTAAATTAATATCCTGGTAACTTTCTTTCCTACTCACTTAGGAAGCCTTCTTTATTGAAAATGTCATCATGGGAGTATCCTTCCTAACCGCCCCCGCCCCCATGTGCCACTGGATCCTTCTAATGCAAGAAACAATATATGCAAGTAGACTGTTGATTCCATGGAGGGACATCCGGCCAAATTTGTTCCAAATTGACTTTGGACTTGTAGTTGCCTTTACAAAGGTCCAGTCTTGCCAGGGAATGGTCTGTTGCTTATTTTATCTGTCTGGACCTAAATTTTAAAATTTCAGGAAGAAATTATTGGAACTCGGAGTGTGCTCGCATACTGAAAAAGACTTACATGTATTTATGGGAGAATGTTATTGAGTATAGGATTTCTTCTTTTACACAGGAGCCTAATGCTATTGACAACAGCAGCAGTGGGAATGCTTGTGACTGCTTTATGTGTGATGATTCATTAGTAAATATTGCTTAAAGGTCAAATAAAAGGTCATAAGATAAATACATAAATAATATGAAGGCCACAGGGTTATGCATGAAGTAAAAAAAAAATTGATAAAGAACTGGATTCATATAGCCTCATCCCTCGTAAAGGTTATAAAAACTTGCAGGAGTATGAAAATTCCAAATTGGGGGGCCTCCAGAAATATGGTTCTGGATCTTTTTTGTGGAAATCACTGGCTAGTTGTTACAGATACAGGCCTTCTGTCATAAAATTCAGTTTGAAAAGGAAAATCTGGAGCCATGTAAATGTGGCCTACAAATGACTTCAAATGACAAATGAAGCAGATTGTGTTTGGTTTATGTGAGTTGCAGGTGCAAAGTTCTGTCATAGCAACTATCTTTATCTCTTATAAAGAATCTGGCAACACCTAGCAACCCACCGGATGTGGCTAGCCTTACGATGGATGAAAGTCCCGAACAAATTGGAGATGCTAGTGGCGATGCCATAGAAGTGAACCAGCAGGATGATGACATGGAAGTGAACCAGGATGATGGCATTGTTCATCATGCTGAAAACCCTGGCAACACCGATCTCGCCAATCCTGATGATGATGGATTTGAAGATGGCGAAGGAAATGAGGATAACTAAAACTTTACTAAGGTGCAGTTTGAGCTCAAGTTTCTTCTGTGGTTGTCCGTTTATCTTTCTCTACTGAGTGAACTATGAAGAAATGTCTTACTTTATTTACAAACAGCTTGTAAATGAAGCTTGGAAACGTATGTATGTCAACATAGATATTAAAACAGAATTTAAGGGCAACGCTTGTGTATTTCGCCATTTTATCATTATTTATCATTTGAGCGCAGTGAGAATATTGCTGGGGATGATTTCAATCATAATTAAGGTTTAAATGAATACATGGCTGGGGTAAGAGCGTGGTACAGTATGTTTGCTGACTTATATTACTCAGACTTAAGAAGGTGAGTGTGAGTGTTAATAAATGTATAAAGGTAAATACT